GGGCAATTTCTTTAATTTTGGGAAATTGGCCGATACTTGCATGAGAAACCAATTTTACCAATTTTTTTTAAATTTAAACAACAGTCATCTGAACTTCATTTATATTTCAGAGCACTAAATCATGGCCAGTTATAACAAGTTTGTATTGTTTCTAGGATATTGTTCAATGGTATGTTTTTCAGTAAAATAAGATTGGAAAATTGAAGTTACATTGTGACCTTCTAACACCTGACACTGTTGCTTATATTCTGATGCTTATAAAATAAAATCGGTATCGGCAGGTCAGACTTTTTAGAAATCGGTGATCAGCCAGAAAACTGGAATTGGTGCACCCCTACTTTGAACGATCCAAAAATGCAATTTTGGATTGTTAAAATAAATTTTAAAGAGAAAAGAGAAAGGGAGGGGTCAGTGAAGAGCACCAGAGTTGAACCTTTCGTCATCCAATGTCTTCAGTAGAAAGAGAGACACAAAGAAACGATAAAGCTGATAAAAGAAAATGAGCTAGATAACTTTCATTTATCATGCAATTAAATGATTTATTGTTTATCATGACAGACCTATGCAAACGTTCTCAAAGTCTGGAATTAACTTCCCTCAAAGCTCTCAGGTACGTCAGAGGCTGCAGCTTCTAGTCAGCTGCAGTTTCCTACAGTGAGTGGACAGTTTGTGAACAACAAATTGTATATTTTATTTATTTTGTAACAGATTCAGCATCTGGACTCTGCAGTTGTGTCCTTCCACCTCTGCACATCATTACACCTTCTCAGTCTGCCAATGTCCATACCTCATAAAAAGACCATTAAGTGTTAGATTCATGCTACTGGTAACTTCATGTTCCCCAGCAGGGCTGGAGATTAGTGATGAGCAACTTGTTTTCACCACAGCTGACTGCTACTGCCAGGAACCAGACCTGTCCTGGACTCACCGACAGCCCTTTCTGTGGCTCGCTGATGCAAAAAGTCTAGAGGTAAAATAAATTCTTCCACATAATTCCTGACATTACTTTGTGGTGATTTTGCAGAAACCTGATTAAAAATGAAAGCACTCATGGAGGGCTGTAAAAACAAAGAGGGCCCATTAAGGGCAGTCACTGCACTCACTGACCCCCCTCTGAGGTCTGTCCTCTATTGGGCTTCATTTTATTAAAAAATAATAATACTAAAACTTAAAGAGAAGCACTTGACCCATCATCCTCCCTTCTGTTCATCCAAACAAAACATTTAAATTCAGCAAGTCTGTGCAAAACAAACCGACTTCCCTTCCCTCAAACTGAGTAATGCATCCAGAACAAGAAACTAAACGTCAGAAGAAACAGTTTGGGTGATTACAGAAATTCAACTGATCATAATTTCAGGTGGGATAAGGCCACAGCAGAGTTACACTGTGAGACACATGAAAAAACAAAGTTAAATACTGTCTTCTCTTTCATTTCCCCCTCAGAGACAGCCTCAGGCTTTTATTGTTCTGTTAAAGACCAGAAAACCCAGGAGTCCACAACAGATCCAAGATTGAGACAAAGGCTTTAAATATAATAGTGAGTTAAGGAAAACACAAACATTCCTCCTGAAATCAAACTGTTTGTGTGTCAGTTTTCAGAGTGTGAGCAGCAGATGTGGAGCTCAGCTGGTTCCCGTGTTTCTCTCATTTCATTTACTTCTGAGTGTATGACCCACTAAACCCCACTTCTATGTGCTCACATACACAGAGCGTTAAAATTCTTCTCAACATAGCAAGTGGCTGCCACGGGACATAAACACGTCACAGAACATTCTTATTTGATTTCAGGATTTCTTCCTCACTCCTGAGTCATGCAGAGATATCCTAACCAAGATCTTCTGTCAGCTCTCGTGTACAAACTGTACAGTCCTTCCCCTCACTGATCCACAGGAGCAGAACAAAGATGATGAGATGTTTCCAGCCACACAGTTCCTGTCGCACAAAATGGTCAGGAAAAACAAGCTGCTGGTGCATAACTGCATCTGTGGCTGCAAAGGTTCCTCACATTTTCTTTAGTAAAAATCAAGTTACACCCTTAGTTGATCCTCAAGACAACTGAGAAAAGTGGGAAATTTAGCCCCTTATTTACATTTTATTACATCAAGATTCTTGTTAGGATGAAAGATAAGCACGTCAAATCACAACCCTTTATTAAAAAGACAACACTATGCAATGAAAAGCATGGATCATTCGTTTTCTAGGTAATTTTGAAATATAATAAAGGAAAAACTGTTCCTGCCCGGTTTCGAACCGAGGACCTTTCGCGTGTTAGGCGAACGTGATAACCACTACACTACAGGAACTGGCTGCTCTGTGGACACTGCAGGGGGGCACACACACTGCAGCTGATCGCAGACTGACAACAGCAGCTGTCAGAAAACACTCAGGGTGTCCCAAAAACAGTAAAACACAGAGTCTAATATCAACAGCACACCGAGTCTAACAACATAAACACAAACATTTTGAGACTCAGTTTGTAATCATCTTAGCTGACAAAATGTCCACAATTTATTATATAAACTGTATAAGAAGTGTAAAGAGAAGCAAAATAAAAACAAAACAAAGCTACTGCCAGTGGGTCACCATGGTAACCACACGTCTCTGTTTGTCACTCCCTCAGCACTCTTAATAAGACAAGCAGACAGAAACTTAAAGAGCAGAAATCATGTTTCAAATAGTGACTTAAGTGTCAGAAACATCTTATCACAGATTTAGGGATGCACAATATTGGATTTTTGGTCGATATCTGATATGTCGATATGTTAAAACTTATATGACCAATAACCAATACCAATACTTTTTAGACCTAATATATACCTTTCTCTTCTGTGGAATTAAAATACTACATTATTTTGCATGGTCTTTGTCAGTTTGGCCTGCTCCAAATGAAGATGCCAAAAAGGGTCTGAAAATGCTGCAACACTATATATATATATATATATATATATATAT